TGTATTCCCCTGAAGGCTTTGGAACAGGTAAGATGGGGGAATTCCAGGGAGAATTACAGAGTTTTAAGAGCCCATGGGTATGTAACACCTCAACTATGCGTGCTAGGTCCTTTCTTGCTTCCTGCTTAACTGGGTATTATTTTTGATTGGGAAAATAGCTGGGGTCTTCAAGCTGTGTTTTGTCTGGCACTGCTGTTTTAGCCTTCCCCAGTTTTCTAGTATACCATGCCAGTGGGTTAACCTGTTTATTAACGTGGTCTTGGACATTGTCTGTATTTTTGACTATTAGCAATTTCATTAGGTGATGCTTAAATTGTAGTAGTGCCCTTATTTTAACCATAATATCTCTTCCCAGCAGGGGGATTGGGTAGCTTGATACTACTAGGAAGGAATTCCTGTTAGAAGATTTGTTTCTCAAATTGGCAAATCAAAGGAGGAGTAAAAAATCTGGTTTGTGGCTTCCTTTCCAGTCCCATAACACTTGTGGACCGGGTGGAAAGTTTCCCTGCATAAGCAGTAAAATAATTTGCCCCTGTATGGAAAAGAATCTGAATTTGGGTGCCCATGACATCCAGAGTTACTAGGGGCTCTTCTGTAGTAATTACAATCTTCCTGAACAGGGGCAGGGAGAAAGACCCCGGGCCACTTCAGTCTTCATCTGATTCCTCCTTTCGCAGTGCTAGGTGTGTTTTGCCTAACCCATCCCCTCAGTGGGAGCAGGGGCAGTCCATTCTCCAGTACCTGGGGTCACGACTGGTGCTTTTGCATTGATGGCAGGAGCCTCTAGAGGGCTTAGTACATTCCTTTGCCTAATACTCACTTTTCTTGCATTCCAAGCAAGACTTGCCTTTGCTGGCATTATCTTTATGACCCTTTGGGTTTCCTTTAGATGCTCTTTGGGCATTCGGGGCATCACCAGTGATGGCTGCCATAATTTTGACATGCTGCCTTTCTTTACTTCTGTTTTTCCTTCTTCCAGGTCGTGATTGCTATACCTCATAAAGGCAGTAGCAAGAATCTGATTTTGATTAGTTTGTCGTCCCATCTGTAATTTTGGAGTTTACATCTAATGTCTGGGGCAGATTGGCTAATGAAATGCTGCGCCATTAATATTTTGCCCTCGGGAGAGGAAGGGTCCAGATTAGTATATCTTTAAAGGCTTGCTCCAGTCTACCATAATGCATGGCTGGATTTTCCTCCTCACCTTGTGTAACCTCCCTTACTTTATCATAATTTACTGCCTTAGTTATTCCCTTTCTCATTCCTCCAAAGACAGCCTCAAGAAATTTAGCCTGGTGATTCATTCCCATGGGGGTGTTATAGTCCCAATTAAGATCAGTAGTGGGAACTGTGTCTGGGCCTTGGTAATTGCCCTGAGGGTTTCAGGCAAATAATTCATCCACTTCCCTGCTGGCAGCCACAGAGATTTGTTCCTTTTCTGAAGGAGTGCCAACAGGTTGCTAACATGAATTGACCATCTCTCCATGAGAGATCAAAGGCTAAGGTCAAAGTTTGGAATCCATCTGCAAATTTCCTAGGATTCTCGGAATAGCTTCCTAGCTTTTCCTTACATTGCTGTATATTCGTTATAGAGAAGGAGGCCTGCACTAGGACTGGCCCCTCAGCTCCTGCTACTTCCCTAAGATGTAGCAGGACTGGAAAGAGTTGAATATGGGGACTTAGTAGGGTCTCTGGTGTTTGCTCCTGGGTTTTAGCCTCAGGAGCACTTGGCAAGAGGCCATATGAGGGTGGTTGCTGTTCACCCTGAGAGACAGGTGGCCCTTGTAAGAGGGAGTCATCTATAATATGCAGTTCTCCCTTAGAACCTTCCTTTGCGAGGTGGGTTCTGAGTGTTCTGCAGATTGTTAGGTGTAGGGTCATGAACATCTGTATGTACAAGATTCTTGACCACATGCCCTGCCTCTTGCAAAATAAGTCTAATTGCAGGATGGTGTCAGAATTGAGGATACCATGGATTACCCATTTTTCCCAGGCTGGGCAGCTCATGATGGAGCCAGAAAGCACTGCAGAAGAAAATTCTATGTTTTCTCCTTAGATTGTCAGGATCAAATTGATTCCGACGGTGGAGGATGTAGCCAAGTGGGAATCAGGTGGAGAGTTGTCCATAGTGGTCTGGGAAAGAGGAGATGACTTTGAAAAGTGGAGGGCTAACAGGTGACCCAAAGTTTACCCAGGGAATACCCCTGGAAAATTCTGGGCCCAGACTGGGGTCCCTGGGAGCATCCCCCCATTAGGGCCCTGACTTAGTCTGTCAGATGTCTCTGATCTTAGATGGGTGCCAGCACTGCTTTGGAATGGTTTCCTCCACCACTGAAGACCTACTATGAACTTTCCTTAAGGTTTTCCCATGCTACTTAAAGCAACCCTTTAACTCTCTCAGTTTAGGCACTGATAGATTCCCTTTCATGAATCCCCCCCCCCCAACTCCTCATGCACCAGACAGACCATCTACGACATGCCTGGACTCTCTGAGTCATATAACCTTTTTGCATAGCTAGGTGGGTTTTCTGTCCTTAGCCAGTTGAGTGGGGGAAGGGAAGAGAAGAATTTAGCATAAGAAGGTTTACGTCACCTGAATTATGTGTGAGTTTGCCCTGAATGAGCTGCTGCTGCCAACTGAGACATATGTAAGCATCAGGGACAATAACCAGAAAGGATAGAAAAGAATCTCTCTCCCTTTAGGGCAGGGCAATTATTCCTTTTTATTAGTTGGCTTCAGAGAACACTGGAGAATGGTGCTGGCCAGTTCCCCTCAATTACTAAGGAACTACTAGGAAACGACCACTAAAAGACTGAAAAAGCAAAAAAGGAAAAGAATTCGGGGGAAAAAAAAAGGAATAGGACTCAGAAAAACAAAAACAAGAAAAAAGACTCAGGCCCCTCATTCTAACCAGATGGTGGCGGTCAGGTGCTTCCACATGGAAGCCTTTCAGTTTCACCAGAGAGTGGCCCAGGCCAGAAACTTGCAGTTTCCTGTGCTTAGGCGCTGTCCACTGGGGGTTCCACGCTGGAAAGCGAAAGAGAGAGGGAGAGAAAGATTCCCCTGTATTAAAAGGAAAAAAGAGAAAAATAAATCCCAAGCATTGGGCCTACCTTCTCTCCTGGCTGGCTTGCCAAAATGTTACCAGCAGAGGGTTTTGACTGAAAGTCGTCTAGGTTCTCGGAGTTTTTGAACAAAGAATTGGACAAAACACACAGCAAAACAAGGCAAGGATGGAGCAATGAGAGAACAAAAGCAAGGATTTATTGAAGATGAAAGTACACTCCACAGTGTGGGAGCAGGCCAAGCGTCAGCTCAAGGGCTCGGATACAAAATCTTCTTGGGTCCAATACCCCCCAGAGCCTTCCCATTGGCCGCTTGGTGCTCACCTCATGTAAATGAAGTGGTGGCCCACAATCAGAGGCTGAAGTGAAGTTGCAAAGATCACACTCCTGTGCAAACATCTGATTGGTTGTGGAATGCAACCCAATCAGGCTGAAGTTACAAAGTTGCAGTTCTGTGCAATTTTAACATAGAAATTAAAATTTAGCATAGAAATTGAAATGTACTTTAAAGTGGGGGTTTGCAAAGAGAGTAGCCTCTGGTCCTTTTGTTACTTATGTGTGGAGAGTAAGGGTGTTCCTTTCAATTTTGTTCTAGGAAGTCAGAGTGAAATGGCCATAGTTTCTCTGCCTCCAGACTTATTTTACTACCTCAACTGGTCTAGATGAAAGGGAAGAGTTGATCAGAATGGGAGAATCATTAGGCAAACTGTGGAGCTTGGTTAATAATAGTGTACCAGTGTCATGCTCTCAGCTTTTTTTAAAAAAATTAATTTTTTATTCTTTTGCAACCTCTGTCGCTGGCAGTTGAAGGAGCCCTGGAGTGCAAGCACAAGCTCTGTGCCTGCAGCCTGAATCCTGGGCAGGCCACGGGGAGTCTTACTCAACAATAGAGGAACGAAGAGAACTTTGTACTATTTTGCAACTTTTCCATAAAACTAAAATTAATTTAAAAATAAAAAGTTTAGTTTAAAAAAGATGATCAGGCCGGGCGCGGTGGCTCAAGCCTGTAATCCCAGTACTTTGGGAGGCCGAGGCGGGCGGATCATGAGTCAAGAGATCGAGACCATCCTGGCCAACGTGGTGAAACCCCGTCTCTACTAAAAATACGAAAATTAGCTGGGCGTGGTGGTGTGCGCCTGTAGTCCTAGCTACTTGGGAGGCTGAGGCAGGAGAATTGCTTGAACCCAGGAGGTGGAAGTTGCAGTGAGCCACGATTGTGCCACTGCACTCCAGCCTAGCGCCTGGCGACAGAATGAGACTGTCTAAAAAAAAAAAAAAAAAAAAAAAAAAAAAAAATCAGGTGAGTTTTAAATTCTACATATGCATTCATATACTCAACAGATTGTCTATTATGTATCAGGCACTGGGTGTAAATGAGTGCCTAAGAGTCATGATCCCACCCCTTGTGGAGTTCACAATTTAGTGGTAAGTTGGCGGTACCGGTAACAACAGCCCTGTAATTTTCTAAAAGCAAATCTCCAACTCGTGTAGTAACCTGACAAAATCTTGGCTGATGGCGTGTGTAAAAAGAAGCCTTGCTCTATCCCTTCCTAGCTGTGTGACCTTGGCAGAGCTATCCTCCCTTCAGTTTTCTCAGTGCTAAAATTGGGGAAGAAGAAAAAAGCATTCCCTCCTGAATCCTTAGCATGCTTTCAAGCACTTACTGTTAGTTTTTATAACGGCTATAATTAATAAAATCACACAAATATGGGGAAGCGTAACATGGCAGAGAGCGTGACATTTTTGTCAAGAAGGACTTGTGGATGAAAATACACAATCCGCGGTTTCCCAAAGGTCATTCCGGAGGTGACGGTCCAGGCAGGAATTCAGAAACCACAGCTCCGCCCCATCACCCGCCCGGCCCGCCTCTCCCAGGAGCTCGGCTCCGCCCCGCGCCGCACTCCGCCCGGCCCCTCCTCGCGCCACGGCCCCGCCCCTCCCGCGCGTGCCGCTCCGCTTCTTCCTCGTGATCGCGCACCACCCTCGCGCTAAGCTCCATTCGGTTCCAGCCGCACTCAGCTTCGCCCCCTTTCTCCTCCAGCTTCGCCTACGCCCCGCAGAGGGAAGGCCTCGACACGTACGTTGGAGAGACAGGTTCCAATGAGAAGAGCGAGAGGGCGGAGCCGAAGTCTCTGGAGGGGCGGGGCGAGGCGGGGCGAAATTGCGAGTGTCTGGACTCAGCTTTGCATAACAATACATAGCTTTGTGTAACCAATGCAGGAAGGCATTTAAAGGCTTAAAGGCGCCTGTGCCGCCACAGACCTTTCAGTTAACTCCGCCGGGACCCACCCTTCTCAATGCAATTCCTGATGCAGGCTCCGCTCCTGATCGCCCTGGGCTTGTTTCTCGCGGCCCCTGCACAAGCCCACCCGAAAAAGGTGAGTGCACCCTCCTTTAAGAGGCTGTTTGCAGCCTCCAGGCCCAGATACGGGTGTGCAGGTCTGGGTGAGATATGGGGGTGGCCACTCCGTTCTCTAGAGTTAGTTCTTTCCAGTAGAGCCTCCCAAAGTAACTAATTATGGGATTCTGGTCTGTACAGTGAGGGTGGCCTCTAAGGACTTGTTCTGCTCCAGGCCCTTTTTGGAGAGATTAATCTCACGTCTGCATTCTCCGGCCTTCTCTCCAAGCGCCGGTGTGAAAATGCAGAGAGCCTTAAAACTAAGGCATTGCTCACAGAGATTCAGTCCTGTTACCCTGCTCCTGACTCCTGACCCCCACTCCTGATGTCCCCATGATAAGGCCGGCTGCTTCATCTCTTCCTCTACTCGAATGCCCTGAGCTCTTCCTGAGAGGTGGGAGGGTTTGAGAGCTTCTCCAGGCCAGAGGATCCAGGTTTGCCCATCTGGTGACAACTGCCGAGGCCTGTGACTCCTCTGCCTGTGGTTGTGAGCCACTGAGGCAACAGTCCCCCTACCCTCTAAGCTTCATCCTTCACTTCTCATTCACACCATGCTGCAGATCCCTGGGACAGGGAAGTTCTGTAATCCCTAGACCTGAAAAAGCCTAGTTCCTGGCTTATTTCAACTAGCTTAATGTCTTACAGATTTAGTCTATGCTGTTGCAAATGACAAGATTTTCCCCCTTTTAAAGGCTGAAATAGTATTCTGTTGTGTATCTATACCACATTTTCTTTATGCGTTCAATTTGACGGATAATTTCTTTATCCATCAAGTGTCTGTTGAGGGACACTTAGGTTATTTCCGTATCTTAGCTATTGTAATACTGCAATGAATATGGGAGTGCAGATATCCCTTAGAAATATTGATTTCAATTCCTTTGGATATAAACCCAGAAGTGGGATTACTGGTTCATATGGTAGTTCTGTTTTATTATCTCACTTATATGTAGAGTCTAACCAAGTTGAACTTATAGAAGTTGAGAGTAAAGGTGGGATCTCACTCTGTCACCCAGGCTGGAGTGCAGTGGGGCAATCATAGCTCACTGACGCCTTGAACTCCTGGGCTCAAGCAATCCTCCCACCTCAGCCTCTCGAGTAGCTGGGACTACAGGAGTGGGCCACTGAGTTCTGCTAAGGAATAGGCTTTGAGATTTATTTTCACCAGGATGACTGTAGTCAGTAATGTATTATATACAGAAGCTCCTTAATTTTTCATGAGGTTATGTTCCGATAAACTCATTGTAGGTTGAAAATACCATTAAATTGAAAATGCTTCTAATACAACTAACCTGAGCATTATAGCTTAGGCAAGCCTACCTTAAACATGCTCAGAACAAATACATTAGTCTACAGTTGGGCAGCATCATCTAACAGAAAGCCCATCTCATAACAAAGTGTTGGATGTCTTATGTAATTTATTGAAGACTGTACTGGAAGTGAAAAACAGTATACTCAAAGTGCAGTTCTACTGAATATTTATCACTTAGGCACTGTTGTCAAGTTGAAAAATTGTAGGCTGGGCATGGTGGCTCAAGCCTGCAATCTCAGCACTTTGGGAGGCCGAGGTGGGCAGATCGCCTGAGGTCAGGAGTTTGAGACCAGCCTGGCCAACATGGTGAAACCCTGTCTCTACTAAAAATACAAACATTAGCTGGGCATGGTGGCCCATGCCTGTAATCCCAGCTCGGGAGACTGAGGCAGGAGAAGCACTTGAACCGGGGAGGTGGAGGTTGTAGTGAACCGAGATAGTGGCTGTCATTTGCTGTACACATACTATGTGGTATGTACTGAGCTATGTGCTTTTTTCCTAAAAAAAGTTTTTTGGACTAATTTTAGGTTTATAGAAAAGTTGCGGCAAGGTGTGATGGCCCACACCTATAATCCTGCACTGTGGGAGGCCAAGGCAGGCAAATCACTTGAGGCCAGGAATTCAAGACCAACCTGGTCAACATGGTGAAACCCTGTCTCTACGAAAAATACAAAAATTAGCCAAGTATGGTGGCATACACCTGTAGTCCCAGCTACTTGGGAGGCTGAGGCAGGAGAATCACTTGAACCCAGGAGGCAGAGGTTGCAGTGAGCCAAGATTTTGCCGCTACACCCTAGCCTAGATGACCGAGTAAGACTCCATCTCAAGAAAAAAAGAGTTTCAGAGATAATATAGTTTCCATATACTCCTGACTCAGTTTCCCCTGTTAAGATCTTATATTATCATTGTACATATCTCAAAACTAAGAAAACAACATTAGTATGTTACTGTTAACTGAATTCTAGACTTTATTTGGATTTCACCAGTTCTCCCATTAATATCCTCTTTCTGAGCCAGGATCCGATCCAGGGTACTGCATAGTCATTGTTGTCATGACACATGTTGTTGTAGTCCCCACTCTCCTCTGGTCTACGACAGCTTCTTAGTCTTTCCTTGTTTATTTATGAGCTTGACAGTCTCAAGGAGTTGTGCCCTGTGCTTTCTCTATACCAACATCATGCCCTCACAATAGCCCTGTGAGAAGATATCATTATGTCCACGTAGTAGATGAGGAAAATTTGAACCTCTAGGGGGTTAACTTACCCATGGTCTCAGCTAACAAGACTGGCTGAGCTGGGATTTTAATTCATACCTGTAGTGCCCATGTCTCTGCCTCCAGGGCTGTGCCTTTCCCCTCTGCCTTGTGCTGCCCCTTCCCACTTTTGGCTTAGGCTTGAATGGCAAATTTCTTGTGCCCAGCCTTGTCTTGGTAGGGATTGCTAATCCATTACATCTCCCATCCCCGATGATCCTGGACTCAGTAGCAGAATCTGTCACCATAGAGGCAGCTAGCCGGACATTACCCCCAGGGAGCCATCTAGTTACATCTTCCCCAGGTCCTGGGGAATGCGAAGCTTAAAGAGGGGAGGGAATTCTTCTCCAGTAGGCACTCTGGATACCCTACACCCCCCCCACCAGCCCGGAATCAATCCTCGGTGTGGATCAGGCTGCCTTAGAATCTATGAAAGCATCCCCACCCAGAAAACAGCTAGTCCTGCTCCTACATAGCCCTGCAGCCTGACTCCTAAGTCCAGGTATTCTTTCCTTGACCATTTTCAGTCTGTTTACATGCACAAATCACAGTGTAGTACTGTCCTTCAGTGGGGTTCCACTGCACCTGTAGTTAATGCAAACTCCTGAATATGGCTTGTGGGGACCTACATTAAATGACCCTGTCGCCCCTCCAGCCTCATCTGGGTCCCTCATCCACGACATTTAGCCATGGCCTTCCCCCAGTGCCTAGAGCAGCCAAGCTTCTTTGTTCCTGGGCCTTTGCCAGAGTTCCCTTGGCCTGGAACATTCTTTCTGCACTTACATGTCTGACTCCTCATCCTGTAAGAGTCCAGCTTAAGTATCACTTCCCCACCGCCCTATGTAAGTGAGTCCTTCCTTGCTGTCAGCATTACCTTCTGCACATTTCCTTGTGGCACTCACAAATCATAGTGAGTGATATTTATTTGCATTAGATGGTAAGCTCCTCAAGACAGGGCAGGAGCCATGTCTGATTGTTTACCACTCTTGCCACAGTGCTTAGCCCAAGGCCTGTCATCATTGCTCCATAAATATTTGTGGAGTGAATGTTGAAGGAAACATTTATAGGCAACTACCCTGTCCTGCCTTTCTTAGTCATGACATGAGCTTTCATTCCAAGGGGTAGGAACTCATTCCTAAAAGCTCAGGTAAAGGGGAAGTTTATTACAGAGCTACAAGACATCTTATGGTGCTGCCGGCAGGAAGCGGAGGCTAGGATGCTAATGGCTCCCATTTAGTGAGCCGGCTCTCAAGTTGTGTCTGGCATTGGGTTATGAACTTTACATACATGCTCTTGCCCTTGCAACATCCTGGAGAGGAAAGTAGAAATGCCTCCAGTTAAAGATGTGGAAATTGAGACTCCAAAGGGGAAACTGACCGGTAAAATCACATAGTAAGTGTGGTAGAGCTGTGATGTCCACCCAGGGTTGTTTGGCTAAAGTCGTCCTTCGCCCATGTCTCTCCAAAACCATACCCTTCCGTGCTGCTTTTATTGACAGGGAAGTGGGACTTTTTTGCACAGACCAACAGAGCCCTTAGTTCTTATACCTTCATTAACTTCCACTTGGTCATGGGTCACAGATCTAGATGGTGTGGCCTCAACCCAAAATTTAGGATCCAGTGACAGCACAAAGCCCCCATATTCCCAGCCTTTTATGCCTTAATTCCAAAATTGGGCAGAGAGAATCCATCAGCTTAGCTGAGGTTAGGTGATTCCTCTGGATCTGGTCAGTGATGGGAGTGTTGAAGGTGGGGGTCAGCTTCGGGGTGTGGGACTGGCAGGTTTTCTCTCTGAGGCAGGGTGTAGATGGAGGGCGTGCCAACAGTCTCTCATAGGTGGCCTCTAGGGGGCTGGGAGAGGTGAGAGTGGGTGGGCAGAGAGTCTGCATGGTGGGGGAGGTGTTCAAGATCATCAGACAGGGTCCTGTTGGAGTGGGGAGTGGCGGTCACATGCAGTCACATGCAGATGTAATGGTGGCAGAATCAGGAGACCTGGGGCATGTGGAGGAAGAACAGGAAGAACAGCTCAGCAGAGTGGTGGTGGGTGACCCAACTGGGCACGTGGCATGAGAGGTGGGATGGGAAGAAGAAGCCACTGGTTAGGACTGGGAAGTCCATTCACTGGGCATTATTCATCAGCAAGTGATCCACTGGGGATCTTTTCATGGGTGTCCTGTTCCTTCCTGAGTTAATCACCTTCCCCCTTGAGAGTGGGATTTCAGATGCTGTTATCTGTGCTCTGTATTTCCCGTTGTTCCTGGCTCTGGGTTGGGTGTGGGGTGTGACATGAACAAGGTCCTGGGTGTGGGCTGCAGAGGTGAATCCTCCAGGAGGCTGCCCTCTGTTGGGATCCCAACGCTGGCTGGAGAGGAGCAGGCAGCAGGGAGGTGGGAAAGCAGAGAAGGCACCCACCAAAGGCCAATTAGGTCAGTCTCCTGTTTTGAAGTTCCAGGTCTGTCATATTCTGCCTTACAGTTTACAATATGCTTTTGTGAGATAATGTCTTTTGAGTCTTTTAGTTTAGTCCTATCTATAAAATGAGTAGGACAAGTGTTATCCCAGGTTCATAGGTGTGGAGGCTTATAGATGAGGCTCAAAGACAGAGGTGCCTCACCCAAGGTCACACTGCCAGGAGCTAATTTTTCCTACGATCTGTGATAGTTTCTTTTGTTAACCTTTTTCTTCTCCTCCTTCCTTGCTGCCTGATTGTCCCTGGTCCTTCCAGCTAGGTAAGTTTTCCTGGGACAACTGTGATGAAGGGAAGGACCCTGCAGTGATCAGAAGCCTGACTGTGGATCCTGACCCCATCATCATTCCTGGGAATGTAACCCTCAGTGTCGTGGGCAGCACCAGTGTCTCCCTGAGTTCTCCTTTGAAGGTGAGCCTAGGGGTGGGTGGGGAAGGGGAGGTGCCAGAGGCTGGCTAGCAGGGGCACTGGGGCACATATGCTGGGGGAACTGTGAAGAATGTCAGAATCCTGGATTTCCAGAATAGTATAGGACGTGTAGATTGAGATACTCGTTCACAGGTTCCTGGACTCTCAGGATCATCAGATTGAAAGGAATCTCTGATGTCAGCGCCAGCAACTTCCTGGTAAGAGCAGGAGTGACACATATCTTGAGCCTGGCAGGAGCATCCTGGCCTTCTTTGGGCCTGATTGTTCTCTGGGGAGAATGATCCAAAATGGCTGATTGCTAACATCTCAGGATTGCAGCTCCCAGTGAAAACGCAGAGAACGAGAGGATGCCACATTTTTAGACAAATTTTTGTCACTCATGGAGCAGAAGATTCCCAGTGGAGGAGCCCCATGGGTTGCCAGTGCGACTCCTGTGGCCGGCGCAGTGGTTTTGGAGTAAACGGGACTGGTTCCCCTTCTGACCGATGTTTGGAGCTCCAGGAAGGCAGAGTGGCCTATTGTGGACTCAAGGAAGCCAGACTGGAGATTCCCGGGCAGAAAAGCACCATCAGTCTTAACGCCACTGTTTTGGCCAGTGCAGTGGGTTGCTCATATTTCGGCCCTGGGAATTAACAACTTGGATGTCCACTCAGAGACCTAATTTGAAAGTTGGTAATTACAAAGACAACAGGTGGATAAATTTACAATGATGGGAAGAAACCAGCATAAAAAGGCTGAGAATACTCAAAATCAGAATGCCTCTCCCTCTAAAGAGGATCATAGTTCCTCATCAACAAGGGTACAAGGCTTGATGGAGAACGAGCACATCCCATTAACAGAATCAGGGTTCAGAAGATGGATAATAAGAAACTTCTGTGAGTTAAAAGAACATGTTGTAGCCCAATGTAAAGAAACTAAGAACTTTGAAAAAAGGTTTGATGAAATCCTAATGAGAATAGACAATTTAGAGAGGAATATAAGTGAATTAATGGAACTGAAGAATACAATATGGAAACTCCGAGAAGTATGCACAGGTTTAAACACTCGAATTGATCAAGCAGGAGAAAGGATGTCAGAGGTCGAAGACCAACTTAATGAAATAAAACGAGAAGACAAGATTAGAGAAGAAAGAGTAAAAAGGAATGAGCAAAGTCTCCAAGAAATGTGGGACTATGTGAAAAGACCAAATTTACATTTGATAGGTGTACCTGAATGCGACGGAGAGAATGAATCCAAGCTGGAAAATATTCTTCAGGATATTATTATTCAGGAAAATTTTCCCAACCTAGCAAAGCAGGACAATATTCAACCCCAGGTAATACAGAGAATACCACAAAGATATTCCTTAAGAAGAGCAACCCCAAGGCACATTAGATTCACCAGGGTTGAAACGAAGGAGAAAATACTAAGGGCAGCCAGAGAGAAAAGTCAGGTTACCCACAAAGGGAAGTCTATTAGACTTACAGCAGATCTCTCAGCAGAAACTCTACAAGCCAGAAGAGAGTGAGGGCTGATATTCAACATCCTTAAAGAACAGAACTTTCAGCCCAAAATTTCATATTCAGCCAAACTAAGCTTCACAACTGAAGGAAAAATAAAATCTTTTATGAACAAGCAAGTACTCAGAGATTTTATTACCACCAGGCCTGCTTTACAAGAGCTTCTGAAAGAAGCATTACACATAGAAAGAAACAACCAGTATTAGCCTTTCTAAAAATATACCAAAAAGTAAAGAGCACCAACATAAAGAAGAATTTACATCAACGAATGGATCAAACAGCCAGTTAACATCAAATGGCAGTAATCCTAAATTTAAATTGACTAAATCCCCCAATCAAAAGATACAGCCAAAACCCAACGGTATGCTACATCCAGACCCATTTCACATGCAAGGATACACAAAGACTCAAAACAAAGGGAAGGAGAGATTTACCAACCAAATGAAGAGCAAAAATAAAAAATAAATAAAAAGCAGGAGTTGCAATTCTCACATCTGATAAAATAGATTTTAAAGCAACAAAGATATAGTGGTAAAAGGATCAATGCAACAACAAGAGCTAATGATTCTAACACCCAGATACATAGAGACTTAGACTCAATGAGACAGAAAATTAATAAGGATATCCACGACTCGAACTCAGATCCAGAACAAGTAAACTTAATAAATATTTATAGAGCTCTCCACTTTAAATATACAAAATACACATTCTTGTCAATACCACATCACACCTACTCATAGGTTTAAATGAAATATTGATTGATTTTTTAGAATAATGCAACATTTCTGTTCTCTCTTTCTTTTTCTTCCTTTCTTCCTCTCCTTCACTCCTTTTTTTCTTTCCTTCTTTAAAAAAAAAAAGCAACAACAACAAAAAAACCAAATAGCTCATTATTTAAATAGTCAATCAGTGAGTATAAGCCCAACCAGAATATGAGAGGGAGAACAGCTGTCAGCTTTTCACTGAAATCTTTTTGATTGCTATAATGCAAAAAAAAAAAAAAAAGGTTTTATCCTATAAATTGTTAAGTACAGTGAGTTCTGAGATCCTCTCCAAAGAACCAATGTATCAGCACGTTCAGATCCTCTGTTCTTTGTTCTCAATTTCAGAGTTTAACTTCCTGGTTTTCTTTGCCCCCTTACCCCAAGTTTTAGTAAACAACTTTCCTGCCAGTTCTAATCAGTAGTTCGTATCTGTTCCCCTCGTAACCTGCTTTGACCTGAGTCAACTTTAGTTACCTTTCCTGTAACTGTCCTTCCCACCAAACTGCTCACCCCACCACTCTGGCTCATACCCTTGCTCCCTTTAAAATAGCCAGTCAGAATTAGCTTAGACTGTGCAGTCCAACCCTAGCCACTAGGGGAACGACATAGCAGTAGGGGCTACCTGCATCAGGGATAAGAACCCCTCCCCTCCCTTAAAAAAAAAAGAAAAAAAAATAGAACGTACTGTTAAAACATGCCTTCATAATTTAGCAAAGCATATCTTTTAAAATGTCAAACTTTTGCTAAAATTACTGAAAGCTATTTATATGCCCTTGGGCACTGCTGCTTTTGGATAAAACTAGCATTGGAACAAGCCAAGGTAGATAGTAATATCTGAATGTACTCTATATCTGTAGTGTTGAAAATGAGTTAAATAGCTTTAAGTTTTCCCAAAGTTACCTTTAGGATTCAGGGGAAATGAATTATTTTTGCTGCATTCTGCCAGTTGGTAATATTTGTGTACAGAAGACTAGGTGCCACTTAACGCTTCAGAAGGATACCTTAATATGCATAACTTTCTTAAGGCCGCAGATGTAGGGCAAGCTGATCATCAAGTGATTCTTATTCAGAAATTCTCTTTGTTCCATTCTTACCTACTAGAATCATTTGTGAACCTTGACCTATATCAACAAAGCAACATTGCAGCTTAGCTCTTCATAACATAAAACATTTACAAAAAAAAAAAACAAACAAAAACACAAGTGGTCAAAAAAATGAATGAAGTAGGCCAGGTGCAGTGGCTCATGCCTGTAATCCCAGCACTTTGGGAGACTGAAGTGGGAAGATCATTTGAGGTCAGGAGTTTGAGACTGGCCTGGCCAACATGGTAAAACCCCATCTTTACTAAAAATAGAAAAATTAGCTGGGTGTGGTGGCAAGTGCCTGTAATTCCAGCTATTTGGGAGGCTGAGGTGGGAGAATCACTTGAACCCAAGAGGCAGAGGTTGCAGTGAACCGAGATCGCACCACTGAACTCCAGCCTGGGTGGCAGAGCAAAACTCTGTCTCAAAAATAAATAAATAAACAAATAAAATAAAATACTAGAAACCTCACTACCTAGTGATAAGGGGTAAGCACTTTTAATATCGTATAGGACATTCTTTGCAACTTTCCCCCATACAATTACATGTGTAACATACATAATAATTTTTAATGGATATGTATGATAATAGGCAGTGCTCATTGTAAATGTCCTCCAGCAACCTAAATCCTGGAGATAGCCAGTGTTTTCTCTTTATTTATCCTGTCAGAATTTTTATGTGTTTGTAAATACAGACACACTTACACTCATGGGAATATATGATATGTGCTATTATACTTGCTTTTTTTTTTTGCACAATACTATGTGTTCCATATCTCTTTCCAAGGATTAGGTGGCTCTACATAGTCATGTTTTTTACCCAATCATTATTTTATTTTATTATTTTAATTTATTATAATTTTAGAGATGACATCTCACTCTGTTGCTCAGGCTGGAGTGCAGTGGTGTGATCATGGCTTACTGCAGCCTTTACTTTGTGGGGTTAAGTGATCCTCCCGCCTCAGCCTCCTGCGTAGCTGGGACCACAGGCACATGTTACCATGCTTACCTAATTTTTTAAATTTTTTATGGAGATGGAGCCTCCCTATGTTGCCCAGGCTGGTCTCAAACTCCTGGGCTCAAGTAATCCTCCTGCCTCAGACTCCCAAAATGTTGGGATTATAGGTGTGAGCCACCCCGCTCAGCCCACCCAATCATTTTTAATAGCAGAAATATTCAGATGTGGATATTTCATAATTTATATAACAAGTCTACTGGTGAACATTTAGTTTATTTCCAGGGTAGTGTTTGGTTGGTTGGTGTTTTTTTTTTTGAGACAGAGTCTTACTCTGTTGCCTAGGCTGGAGTGCAGTGGCGCCATCTTGGCTCCCTGAAACCTCCACCTCCTGTGTTTAAGCAGTTTTCCTGCCTCAGCCTCCCAAGTAGCAGTGGCACCTGCCACTGTGCCCTGCTAATTTTTGTGTTTGTATTGGAGATGGAGTTTCACCATGTTGGCCAGGCTGGTCTTGAACCCCTGACCTCAGGCAATCTGCCTGCCTCGGCCTTCCGAAGAGCTGAGATTATAGGCTTGAGTCACTGCACTCAGCCAGTGGTTTTTGTTTTTGTTTTTTTTTGCTGTAATAACCATCTGTGTAGAAATTATTATTATAGTACATCAATAGACACTTTCTAGGTCTT